TGTTGCCAGTCCATCATAATTCTACTACCACTTCAGCTAAAGTAGAATTAGTCAATAATGCCGGCGCTTTTATATTCGATTCAATTTCATACGAGTTGAATGGAAAAGAACTAGATCGTGTACGTGATCCTGGTATTGTGAGCATGATAAGAGGTTATTTGTGTTACAATCCTAACGATAGTAGCCATACGGCTATAGCAGGATGGAATTTTCCATCCAATGCAATTTTGAATGCGGATATGACGTTTTCATTTCGCATACCCTTATGGCATCTTCTCGGTTTTTTTCTTCATTATAGAAAACCAATGTTTGGAAGGCAAACTGTACGTTTGGTTCGTTCCAGACACGATCATAATTGTCTAAAGGTCATTGGTGACGCAACGGCTAACAGATAAATTCTATTGAACTTAAAGTTAAACACATATTTCTAAATGATGCACTAAAATTGGATGTACTTAAAAAGATAAAGAATGATACTTCTATACTTATGGGTTATAGAAAGTGGTCAATACATGAATTACCGTCCTTACCTCATAATGCCACGAAAAAATATGGTCAGTAAAGACAAGTTCGGCAATAGAAGTTCCAAGATTTGTTATTGTTGCCTTTCAAACAGCCAGAAAAGATGTTGCAAAAGCGGATAAGCACATATTAGATAACGCAAATCTTACAACCATACTATAAAGTTAATGATTAATTCGGACTATTATCCTCATGAAGATATGAAGTTAGATTTTAAAAATAATAAATATATGGAAACTCATCATATGTATTCGCAATTTGCCAAAACGTATTCAAATGATAACGATAAACACGGATTACTTGACTATTCTACATTCAAAACTCATGCTATATTTGTTATTGATTGTTCCAAGCGAAGCGAAGATTTAAAGTCATCCACCGTAGTCGTGTGTCGTTCGCGAACGAGTCGTTCAAAATGAACGACTCTTCGACAATGTCAGTTGTCAATGGTGACAATTTTGAATGAAATTTGAATCTTTGAATGTTTTATAATTTTTATAATAATACATTTTTGTGTAAGTTAAGAGTCAAGTCAATTTAATGGGAGTGTTAAAAAATGTAAGTGAAATATTTATTCAGTTTTACTAACGGTTTATAAATTAATAAAAGGTAAGTTAAATCTTTCACTTAACAGTGACTTGAACAAGTTAAAAATTTTTAGTTTTGAGCTTTTTCATGTCCATGTCATAGAGATAATTTATATTAAAATTTTGGATAGGATCTTTAAAGTACTTATACCCTTTAGCTGCCATATTGATAATTAGTAAAGAAAAAAATAGAGAAAAATAAATTTAATGAACATAAATATAAGGAATATTGAAAATATACCTGCAACATAATATATTTACAAAAAACAAACTGTAATTAGGAACCATATTTTATTAAACTTGAATATCAATTCATAAAAAACAAAATAAAACATACATCAAACAGAAACTTAATCACAGCCTGAATGCTTGCAATAAAATAACCTATCAAACAGATAAAAAAACAAAAAATAAATGTACCAAACATAAAAACTTATTCACAGAAAGTAATGACTTAGGAACATTATTTTAATAAATAAATGAAACTAAAAATATGACTTTTTCACAAAAAATAATTTACATATTTCAATAAACAAGTTGTAGAAATATATTAAACAAAAACTTAATCACATCTTTGGTATGCATTTGAAGTATAAAAATAATCATCACAAATTGGAATTCCAAAAGAGTAACATGGAAACTTTTTGTCCTTGACGACTGCTCCTTTTTTCTGTAAGAGTTTGACCAGCTTTAGAAAATATCCTTTCACTGGGGACTGAAGTAGCTACTATGCTTAACCTACTTTTCATAAGCACATATAGTCTGGGATATACATGTTTCCTTTGTTCCCACCACATGAATGGGTCACAATCTCTCTGCAATAATGGCTCATCTAGATATTTTTCTACTTCTATAATTCCAGCTGTTAAAGGATTAACACTAGACACCACATTAGCAATAGCCCAATCAAAAGATTCCCATATAGCTGATTTTGTAGTTTTTTTGGTTAATTCAACTCCATCTGTTTGAATCTGCTCATCATTTCTCTTGGTGACTTCACTTGATGATGGCGTATTCCTGGTGACATAACTAATTAAATTTTTTTTTGCACATTCGAAAGCTGTTTTACTATCAAATCCAAATTTTTTAAGTCGTGGATCCAAAATTGTTGCTTCAGCAAACATTTTGTTGAATTCTATATTGCTAAACCTTTTTTGTAAAGACGATAATAGAGCCTCAGTCAGCTGTTTACACTCTTCTGGAATTTCTGGATTATCCACCAGAAATTTCCTACAATATTTGAAAGTGAATTGCTAAACAATATAATTTTTGAAACAGTCACCTCTTTTTCTGACGAAATTTCGTCTGTTACTTCCTTGAACACTTTTAATATCTGACAACATATTTCCAAAATTTTCATGTCAGTGTTTGATAAATTTGGTAGGTTCTTGTAATGTATTGCAATTACTGACATCAATGGTTGTTTTATTTCTAGTATGCGCTTGAACATGTCAAATGTGGAATTCCACCTTGTAGCCACATCTTGCTTCACTTTTAATTCAGGAAGCCCGTGTTGAATTTCCATTCGTTTTAATTTTTCAGTAGCTTGTGGGCTACGCCTAAAAAAATCAACTATGGTTTTTATTTTTTGTCTAAAACTGTGTATCTTTTCTAAAGATGATTGCACCACTAAGTTAATTATATGTGCAAAACAAGGAATGTGGTTCGAGCCAGTTTTCTTCACAGCTGCTACTATATTTGCCCCATTATCAGAAACAATGGCAATTATTTTCTCATGTGCAATTCTCTTGAGTCCTTCACATAAATTTACAGCTGTATGCCTCTCAGTGTAATTATAGCACTCTAATAAGTTTGAGTTAATCTTATTAGAATGTAAATAGTGGGCTGTGATGGCCAAATAACTTTCATTTGATGCTGATGTCCATGCATCAGCTGTTAAGCAAACACATTCCGCTGACTGTATTTTATCGAACTCCTCCTCTCTTGTTTTATTATAATATTGAGGTACCAATGCTTTTGATACAGTTTTTCTACAGGGGAGTGAGTAGACAGGGTTCAATTCTTCAATAAACTGCTTAAAATCCTCACTTTGCACAATTTGAAATGGTAGATATTGTTTGGAAATCATTCTGACCAGACACCGGTTTATCTCATCTTTCTTTTTCACTGGCACAGGTTCATAAAAAAAATAATTCATATTCAAAGTATGTTGTGTTTTAGTTGCTACATGAAACGCTGTTATGTTTCCTGATTGCTGGTTACTGGAACTAAAGGTGGAGGGTTTAGATGGACTGGCTTCTGATAGTTGATTTTCATCTCTTACTGATGAACTCTGGCCGCCCTTCCTACATACACTGTCTACGGAACCAGGATGCTTTGTTTCAAGATGTCTCATCAAATTATATGTTCATCCTCCCCTAAATGATAAGATTTGAGAGCAAAACTTGCATTTTGCTCTAGAACCCGATAACTCCTCAAAAGCTGACCAAACATCACTTTTTTTTTTGAAGACATGATATGATAATATGATATAATATGCTTTACAATATCGTTACATTCCGTGAGTGAGTACCATCACAAAAGTGGTAAGAGTAGCAGCTAGCAGCACAGAGCACAGCACAAAACATGTGAGAAGTGAGTGAGCCGTGAGTCATTACACGAAAACACTCGTCATTCGAGGTCGGTCGGGAAGCGTGTCGGCCGTGTCGTTCAAACGAACGACTCCGAACGAACGACTCACTGAAGAGAGATGAACGCAGTGAGCGAGCTTAGGGAAAAGAGTCGTATGTCTCAGGCCTAGTCCACCGTTGATGTAAAGCTGGAATTTGAATCCGCTGAAGGTTTTCCCGCTGATACTAGAACTTACTGTATTATAATTCATGATTCTGTGATAGAGTATTTACCGCTAAGCGAAATTGTTCGCAAACTAATTTAAATGTAACGTACTAGCAGTCGAAGCTCTCAGTAAGTCGTGGTGCCTAGTACTAGAATCATCTTAATCGGTTACGCGATGAAAATAGCAGCAGTAAATGTTCAAGGGTTCAACTTTCCAACTGGTTTTTACCAAAGGAAGTCTCGATTTCGATTGGTAACCAGATAACTCACTATATTTTTAAACCAGTGTCACCGTTTTGTTTCTTAAGTACAAACGGTAAAGTGTAAGTGCGATGGTTGGAAAAAAATTATCATGGCTTGAAATATTCCTCTGGATTCTTCGAACAGCACCAATTGAAGGATATAATCAAGTCGCATTTATCAGACGTTGATTTTGTATACGTCAAAGGACATCAAAAACTAATTTTGTTATCTTCCCTTCGTGATGAGGAATTCCAACCAGAAATCGTAAACTTAGAAGATGTACTCCAGACCAGTCTAGATGTCTTGAACTTCAATAAAAATAAACCTCGATGTCTACATCACAGGTTGAGACTATGTATGTGTGCTTTAAGAAACTGTTCTGAACTTCACGAGTGGCTTCTTGCGTTAATGAGAAGATAGTTGTCAGTCATCCTTGCAACAAGATGAATCACGCTACAGCAGCCGCTGCCATAGATGCCTATCTAAGAAAATTACATGAACTCAAAAAATGTATGAACAAAAATAAAAAATGATTGTTAGCTTTAGAAATATTCATATTCGTAACAATGTACCAAATTAAGGACCCAAATTGTGTGACTATTGAATATATTTACAAAATAAAAGTCTTACGGTAATTATATTGTTTTATTCAATCGTTAATGTTATCGAACTTACAAAATGAACTAATAAATATGAAGCTGAAAGTAAAATCATATGGTGCATTATATCAAATTTCTTGTCCGTCTTCTTTCCCATTCCATTCAATAGCTTCTGCATTCGTTTAGCCTAGTCACAATTTTTTGAGAATTTTAGATGATCCTTAATAGGACAATCGTCATCCTTCCATTTGTATATTATTATCCCACAACAAAACGCTTGGCAAATATCTTCACTTCCAACATAAAAAAAAACCTGCTGCTGCTAGCACTGCAGGATTAATGACTCCAGTCCATCCTTTTTCAAATGTACTGATACGTTTATCATACGAATTGTATTCACTAAAATCTATAGAATATTCTTCAGCACACATATTCAAACAGCGCAGCGGTGCGATTAGTATTATTCTGTATTGTATAGGTGTATATTATCATTTATATATGACACATATATCATAAAACACTCATACTTCGAAAGTCACATGACATACGTTAACAAATTCCTAGTAGTTCACTTTCCTTATTAGATAGTTATGTTCAGTCGTAGCCACGCTGTGTTCGCATCAACTAGTTACCATGGAAGAAAATTCTGCACAAAATCTGGAATTGACACATAATTATGTACATTCAGTACGTTATATTATCCTGGTTATATAAACATATACATTAGCTGATCTATACATTTTTTTTTGTAGGCGGATAGTTTTGATATGGATGAATTCTTAATCGGAAATGATATTTTTAATAATTCAGCCACCATTGATGTATCGTCAACAGCTCCTGCAAATCGTAATGCTGGGAAGGATATACGACAGTTGGTAAACAATTATATTGAAGAGCAAAGCAGTCCTACAGATGATACGGTTATTCTGACTCACAAAAAACATGTGAACAACGATGAACTGCGCATAATTGGAGGTTATCTACGAAAAGTCAACAGGCTATGCGAAAAGAAATTCACCGAAATTTCAAGAAAATTAAACAAGGAACGTAAAAGACTTCAAACGCTGAAACAAAAAGAACGTACTCAGTTACAAAAAATTAAGAGACTGGAGGAATGTGAGAAATTTGCATCCAAAATGATTAAGCGTCTGAAAATATCTTCAGATTACTGAGTACTATATATATATCTACATACAATGTAATCTTTGCAATCATCAATCAACCACTGAACAGTGAACATTTACCTTAATACAATAATGACGTCACACACTAATAATCAAAGAGTAATAAAAGTTCTCGACTTCACTGTTCCAGTTCAAGAAGATGGAACATTTTACATATACGAAATCTATCAGCACGACAAGATCGTGCTACAAGAATACCCAGCGTTCTATTACGATGGCACGCCAGGTGGCTTGCCATTTGGTACAGAGATTAAAAACGAAGACAACCGAACTATAGGGTATGTGATCGGACATCACTTACATTATTATCCTATAATGACGATGAAAGACAACTTATTACATTGCGGTAGATATGGACTGCACAAGCTAGTCGGTCATGGAGGAAAACTAGAGTATCGAGATCAAGAGTATACAGTGGAAGAATTTAAGAAAAAGTTTCCCAGAATAGCAAAACAAGATGTACAATGTTTTGGTTATGCATAACGTACCTCAAAATAAAGATAGATAAACTCTTTACAGCGTATCGCTTATTCTTACCCCTATCCCAAAAATATTTACCGCAAAACATGAAATGAGCCACACCACTTAACGCATAGACGTGCTTTCCTATCTATTATGTTGAAAAATATCCCTACCCCAAAGTTCACAACGCAAACTTACCCGCGCATCACCTACCACGAACGCCACAAACGCTATCTACACACCCGTAGTACGCCTATGACGTGTTGACTATTGAAATCATCCTATATGCATCGTTTCCGCGAATTTTGTAATACGAAGGTTTTTTCCATTTCAACTGAATCCGCAGAATTGCATCTATAATTACCATTATTCATCGGCTTTTATCGATCTATATGCAAATATTTACTGCAAAACATGAAGTGAGTCACATCACTTACGCATAGACGTGTTTACCTATCTATTCTGTTGAAAAATATAACTCGATAGTTTTCAATTGAAGGATGTATGACTATGTACCTCTTCCTAATAAAAAAAAACAAGCGATACTGACTATTAAAATTACATAACATATATATATAGTTGTTGAGCTTGATTATTTCCATTATTTGTTACCACCCACCCCCGCCCCTCCAAAGTACACAACGCAAACTTACCCGCGCATCACCTACCACGAACGCCACAAACGCTATCTACACCCCCCGTAGTACGCCCGCGCCAGCACCAACCAGAACGAGCCCCATGCACATGCGCATGCGCACGCGCGAGTTATGTATCCAACCGGATACGGTAACCGGAGACCGTACTGGAGATGAAAATCCTTCTGATTCGTCTGACCCTTATGTAAGTCAATTCCATTTTTCCTATGAGTTCCGAGTATCCACAGGATTCTTTACAAGCTGTTATTTCACCTAGTACTCGAAGAATTTCAAAAGAAAAGTCTAGATTTAAGCCATATTCTACTCCCTCTCTCGAAAATATTTCTACCGAACAATTAAGTACCTCTGCCTTAGAAACTACTACAGAAAACCCAAACATGGTTCTCTCAAATTCGGATATCAATAATCTGTGTAATACCTTGCCAGAATACAAAGTGGGTGAAAATCTATCTACTTTTATCAACTCTGTAGATAATTTGGTAATTTTTTTTTCTCAACAAGGTGCGGATGCTATCCAAACCTACATCATAAATGCTAATATATTGTCTAAGGTAAAAGGCGAGGCTCGTGATTTTTTAAATCTTCACAATCAAACTCAGTGGGCTGAGATAAAGCTACTTTTATTGCAGAAATATGGTGATCATCGCACCGAGGAAATTTTATTAACCCAACTCACAACCACAGTCCAAAAACGATCCGAATCGTATCATTAATATCACCACCGAGTAACACTAGCATTAAATGATATTCTTCAGCATGTTTCACTTCATGAAAGTAATCCACAGGCAGTTGAGTTTAAAGCTTCATTCTTTAGAAATCAAGCACTTAGAACCTTCTGTACTGGTATAAATAATCCATATTGCAACCACCTATCTCATTACGATTTATCTTCGTTAGACGAAGCTCTTCAGAAATGTATTTCTTTAGATAACCATAAGCAACAACAGCAATATATGTCGTATCTGAAATCCTCTACCTACCCCAATGAGTATCAAAAGCCACCACCACGTCCCATTCAACGTAATGCCCACGCTATCACTCAACCGAGTAATCGAAATGCATTACCCAATTTTCAGTCTTCGATTCAACAGAATCCATCTAATGGTACCCAACATTTTTTTCAACAGCCCCGCTTCCAATCGTTCACACCTAACAGAACATTTGGTGATATAAATCGGCCCATACCTCAACGTCAAAATCCTCCTACTAACAGAGAAGTATTCGGTCCTTCTCGTCCAAATAATGTACCGAATAATCAATACAAGCCCAGTCCTATGTCAGTAACGCAGACTACTAGTCGTAAACCAACTCCGATGTCCACCTCCACTCATAATAGTCGTACTTTTCATCATAATGTAGAGTGTGACCCAAATTCCGTCACATATTCTGACAAATGTTGTAATCACGAATATTATGACACATATAAAGACCAACAAGCCTATTCCGAAAATTTTCAAGGGCCTGCCATTCAGGAACCGCCCGATATCGAACCATCCAATTAAATAACTTTTCAAAACACACCAAGCTACCCTATTTCTACCTACCCCATTCCAATTTGAAAATTTTGATCGACTCCGGTGGATCAGATACAGTTATTACCCCAAGAGCTGCTAAAATTTATGACCCTGAACATGAATTCTATGAGCCCTTCACTCTTATCTCCATGAAAACTCCGAAAACGTATACTCGAAATTTATATTACCCTGTACTAAATGAAATAGGTATTCATACACCTCTTATAGTCAAAATTGCAGACTGGCATGATGATTTTGATATTCTTCTCGGAACTGGTGAACTTGATCAATTGGGTGCAAACATTGACTATGAGTCTCACATATTTTCTGTCCGTAAACTAGGTATCGAAATTCCTTTTAAAATAATCTATCGTACAAATAATCGGTTATCTATTCCTGTATCCGTCAACAATGGTGAAGTAGTTGTCCCGGAAATCATCCATGAAGGTCAGGTTATCTTACCAGAATCTATACATTATGCTAAAGATGGTTATATCGATATTCCTAAGCCAGAAAATTTGGAAATTGATTTTTCTCAAACTGTCTCTGCCACATATCTCTCAGAATTTGAGGAAGAACTTCCTAAGCAGTCTTCTAGTACCTCTTTCAATAGTAGTATGATTCGAACTCAACACTTGAACTCTGAAGAAAAAGAAAAAATTCTCCGTTTCCAGTCTGGATTGTTCCCAAAAAAGCAGACGCATCCGGAAAGAAAAAGTTTCGCATGGTAATCGATTATCGGAAGCTCAATGACAATACAGTGGAAGAGAAATATCCAATTCTTACGATAGATGAAATTCTGGATAATCTTGGCAGGTGTACCTATTTCACAATTCTTGACCTAGCCCAAGGTTTCCATCAGATACAGGTCCATCCAGATTCTGTGGACAAGACCGCTTTCACTGTCCCAAATGGACATTTTGAGTATTTGAAGATGCCTATGGGGGTCCGTAATGCTCCTATGACCTTCCAAAGGATGATGGATGAAGTTCTCCGAGACCACCTCTATAAATCATGTTTTGTTTACATGGACGATGTCATCATATTTTCTAGGTCCCTTCAAGAACATCTCATACACATCAAACAAGTCTTTCAAAAATTCCGTGACACAAATCTAAAAATACAGCTTGACAAGTCAGAGTTCCTGTGCAAAGAAGTTGCATTCCTTGGCCACATAGTGACCCCAGAGGGTATAAAGCCCAATCCTAGTAAGATCCATGCAGTTCAAAATTATCCCATTCCCAAATCACGAAAAGAAATTCAAAGCTTTCTTGGCTTAGTCGGCTACTACCGACGCTTCATTCACAATTTCTCCAAAATAGTCGCTCCTATGACACGTTGTACACGAAAAGGAGAAAAAATTGACATAACCAATCCGTTGTACATAGAAGCTTTCGAAAAGTGCAAATCCGCAATTAGCAACTCCCCCATACTCCAATACCCAGATTTTTCAAAACCGTTCACTCTTACCACAGATGCTTCAGGTGTTTCCATAGGTTCAGTTCTATCTCAAGATGGAAAACCCGTTGCTTACTACTCTCGTACTCTTAATACTGCTGAAAGAAACTATTCGACCATTGAAAGAGAGCTCTTAGCGATTTTAGATTCGTGCAAACATTTCCGCCCTCATCTGTATGGTGTTAAATTTACTGTCGAAACTGACCATAATCCCATCGTTTGGTTAGAGAAAATTAAAGAACCTCACTCTCGTTTAGTTCGTTGGAGACTCAAACTGGAAGATTATAATTTTGACGTAAAATATAAAAAAGGCAAGGAGAATGTTGTAGCTGATGCCCTATCCCGCATAGAAATTAATATGCATGAAACTGAATCCGTGATTGCTAATCCCCCTTCAGAGTCTTCGGACGATGAAATATTTGATCTTGACGAATTTGTGAATCAATGCTTTAATAAAGAAACTGGCCAATCTACCCAACATTCATCAGTTGAACATCCTGTTGCTACTGTCCCATTTTCTGAAGAGCCTATAAATTACTTCACTAACCAAATTATAATAAAAATTGGAGACAAACATTCTATCAGGTATTCATTGAAATTCAAGTCTAAACATCAACATTTGGTCACCCTTGTCCAGGCAAATTGGAAAGACGGCGTAAAAACAGCACTTCACGACATAATTGCCCCAAATCAACGTTATTATATTCTTACAGACAATACCGACATCCAAAAATATATCGCTGAGTATGTTCGAAATGCCTACAATGACACCATCCAAATTTTCTTTTGTTCCAAGCGTGTTCAAGACATAGACGATCTTGAAGCTCAAGTTCAATGTGTTCAAAATTATCACAAAAATAATCATAACGGCATTGTCGAAACCATCAATCAGTTAAAACTTAAATATTACTGGCCAAATATGCGATGTACTGTATCAAATTTTATTAATCAGTGTGATATCTGTCTTCGCAATAAGTATGAAAGGCATCCATACAAACTTCCTTTGAAAGGTTCTCTTCTAGGTCAAAAACCACTCGATATTCTACACATAGATACATTTTCCTGTTATAAAGAATGTTTTCTGACTATTATTGATTCATTTTCTAAATACGCTCAAGTCTACCATATTTCAGATAAAACGACAGTCACAATATTGAGTAAATTACGTCACTATTTTTCGCACCACAACTATCCGAGGAAAATTGTATGTGACGAAGGCACAGAATTTTCTAATAATCTCTTCAAGGAATTCATGAGTCTTCATAAAATTGAGCTACATTTCATCACAGTAAACAATCCAAATTCCAATAGCCCTATTGAAAGGTTTCACTCGACTTTCATAGAAAAACTCAGAGTAATGAAAGACGAACGTCCAAAGGAATATTTCCCAGATCTAGTAACTCACTGTGTCCTAATCTATAATCAATCGATACATTCCGCTACTGGTTACTCTCCATTTTCTATCCTTTATGGCCCCTATGCCGAAGAAATTCAATTTGACGACGACATGCCAGTATATGAAAAATATAATCAACGACATAAAGACGAACTCCGCCCTTTTATCGATTCCCTATATAGGAAAATTCACAATAAAGAGACTAGAATTTTTGACAAACGAAACGAAAAGCACTCAGATTCTACCCCAGCCCCTAAACCTGGAGATCCTATTTACATTCACAAAAACCCTCGAAACAAGCTTACTGCACCCTATGTGTCAGCTAAGGTCACTTCAGCCAAAGAGACCCAAATAGAGGCTGTAACATCTAAAAATAGACCCACAAATACTCATCAAGAAACATAAAACGCTTACGCAAAACCCCCTTGTT